TCGGAAGGATGGAAGGCTGAGTCAACCCTGAGCCGGTGAGATTTGAACAGCCAAACTGCAGAACTGCAGTCAGCTGAAGTAGCCTGCAGTGCTGCATTTAACCACTGTGCCACCTTGGGTCTACTTTAGGTTCTGTAGTTTGTTCCACGAAATTAACTTTGTTCCATGTTCTGGTCTTTTTTTTAGTACAAACCCAGCCTCTTCAAAGATATCTATAAATGCCTTGTTTGGTTTTTTTTAAAACAAAAATAACTGCCTCACTATCTCTCATTTATTTCACAAGTAATTATTACACAAACCCTTGTTTTAATGGACCTTCCTTGAGTGGGTTTCAGATAACGGTGGTCAAGATCTGTCTGTTCACTGTAGATGTCTGCATGTATAAAATTCTGTTTGAATTTAATGGACATTTTGCGTTAACAGGTGCTGTTTACATTCACAGTCCAGTGTGTTGAGGGTTTATTGTTATTTTCAGAAGTTAATTCTCTCCAGTTACTCTGGTCTCATTCCTTGACTGTGATTCAACAAATGTCCACCCTCCCCATCAGTTTAAATAGTTTGCTTATGCCCCAAACAATAATCAAATAATTATACATAACTTGATAGTAATGCTGTATATACCTGTATCTATAGTTTATTTTGTATGCTTATGGAATCTTTCCCAGATAATTATGGGGGGTTAACCTTTGTAATTCCTGACTAGTAATCATGCTAGGCAGGATAAAACTTGTAATCAAACATCTTGGAGTTCAAGGCTAAACAATGTTAACTTGCTAGAAAGCATTTTCCCATCTTAATGTACAATAGAATGAGATTCATACCTTTGTGAACAGAGAAAGAAATGATGGCTTTTAGTGTTGGTTCCATTGCACCAGATAGTGTGGTTGTGCAATCTGTGTTCGTTTTACTGGTATTCCAGAATTAAAACTCATCCCGATTGATGATCTGTTTTTTTCCCCTTTTTGTTAGGCTTGGACACACGCAGGGATCCTTCTGAAACACAAATACAGCTTTCTGGTTGGATGTGCCTCCATTTCAGATGTCATTGCTCAGGTAAGAGTTTGTTCAAGTTACAACTAGTGCTTCCCAACTAGCTGGGAAGTGTGCAGTTAAATGAATACCATTTATTTATTTATTTATTTATTTATTTATTTATTTATTTA